ACACACACACACACACACCTGGGCTTGGGATGTTTGTATTAGTATACGAATATGAATGTCCCTTCTCTAATTAAATTACATTCAATGCTCAATGTATTGGTTATATTTGATCTCAGTAATTTTACAAAGGAGAACCTATCTCTCTGTAAATGCACAATGTTCTCAAGAATATGCTAGGACTTGTCAAATTATTCATTCTGTAAGTAGCAAATAACAAGTTATGATCCTAAGATGAGAAATATTTAAGCACCAAATTTATTTCACGAACAACCCTCCTGGCAGCAATCGATGGAATTATGTTGTTTAAAAGCCAACCACCAGAGACAGATTTTCACCTGGTGAGCACAAATAGGTATACGGCAATGTTCACCACCATCGCCACCATGCTGCTTGAGGTCTTCCAAAGTTATAAGGATTGCTCTGAAAGTGATTTGAATGTAATGTCATTAGTCCTACTTTTGGAAAAAGTAGACTTTTGGAAAATGATTCATGAAATGATAGAGAAAAAATTAGATGTTAAAATTGCTTTGACCACCTGGTGAGCACAAATAGGTATACGGCAATGTTCACCACCATCGCCACCATGCTGCTTGAGGTCTTCCAAAGTTATAAGGATTGCTCTGAAAGTGATTTGAATGTAATGTCATTAGTCCTACTTTTGGAAAAAGTAGACTTTTGGAAAATGATTCGTGAAATGATAGAGAAAAAATTAGAGGTTAAAATTGCTTTGATAGCAGAAATTTTCTTATTGAATATTTTACCAGCTACACTCGGAAAAAAACAAGACTTATTTGACCTTACACCTGATAACTGCAGCTGTAATTGTATATGCCAGTAAGTGGAAGACTACAAAGGTGCCGACAAAGAAGGAATTTATTGAGAAGATTTTGGAACTAGCAGAAATGGATATTTTGACAGATACGCTAAATGATAGACTGGATAATAATAAATGGGAACGTCTTTATACCTGGATGAAATCTACACCGATTTAAGTAGAATAGATTAGATTCATATTATGTTAGAGAGTATAAGACAAGATAAACGTAATGTCATTATACTGGTATCTTAGAAATACCCGTCCACATTCATTTGAAAATCAGGAAAAATCCAGAAGATTAGCCATGTTTGTTATTTGAATACGTTTGTTGCCACATAGTGTCTAATGCAGTGGTTCTTAACCTTTGTTACTCGGATGCTTTTGAACTGCAACTCCCAGAAACTCCAGTCAGGACAGTTGGTGGTGAAGGCTTCTGGGAGTTGCAGTCCAAAACTCCTGAGTAACCCAAGGTTAAGAACCAGTGGTCTGATGGACCAGAGTCCACTTAAACAGTCGTCATTTGACAAAAAAATACACAGGTATAGCAAGGAGGAACAGATATTGTTATAAACTATTTGTATGTACACCTGATTCATCGTAAAATAAGAAACTAGCCAAATCCCTGTTTGGCTTTTATACCAGTATTCACAAAATTGCTGTAAATCTTGGTGGCAAATTGCCAGAAATTAAGAAATGGGGATATGCATTTGTTACAGTGTCCAAAAAAGGCAGAGCAGATATATTTGTGTATTTCTGGATTGCACCCAATCATGCTCTGTTGGGTTGTATGCTCTTACAAATTGTTGATGTTTACTCTAGGGATTTGGGAGTGAAATTTGAACAAAAACACCTGGCACCAGTTGCTATAGCAAAGGAAGGAAGTACAAATGCAGAAGGAGATAGATAGCTGAAGCCACAATGAAAGCCAACATATCTTCTGGAAATGCAAATTTCTGAACCCCTCGGAGAACTGTATCAGCCAGCCTCACCTATTTATTCTCCATCTGCCCGAATGAGCAGCCATTTTGTGTCCAGGCATTGTATAGGGAGTGTAGTGCATTCCTTACTGGCACCACCACATTCTAGGAATTTATTGCGCTTTCTTTTAGATACCTACTCAGAGTCTTCATTTAATTTAAGATTGGATTTCTGTGTGGTTGAGTGTGGGATTGATGTATTGACTCTCTTATGGAAGCTATTATTGGTTAGGTCAAAACAAGAACTAAAGATTATTATTCTTCCCACACGCCCTTGGGAATTTTTTTTAAAACTGCCTATTGTTTGTCTTTATTTGTTGAACTTTTTTATTGCTGTGGACTCCTGTGTATGTTCCAGAGTGGATGAGCACCAAATGTACAGCATGTTGATTTGGGCTCTGTAGTAAATGGACACATTTGGGTAAGCTGTTCTAGGTGGGGACATTACTAAATTGCTGGACAGCTCAGTGATTTAAGTATCTGGCTGTGGAGCCAGAGGTTGGGAGTTTAATTCCTCACTTTGTCTCCCTAATAGGGGCTGGACTTGATAAGCCATAGGGTCACTTCTAAATAAATAAATAAATAAATAATAATTAAGAGAACATCCTCCACAACTCCAACATGTGTTTTCCCTAAGAATGCCTCCCAGGCGAAGGATCCAGCTATGCAGTTCTAAGATTATGAACATAATAATTAAGAGAACGGAGGGGTGGAAGGAACTTGGTATTAACTTTGCTTACACACCATAGATTCAGCTCATTCCCAAAGTTGATGCCATTGCGTAGTACCGGTCCTGGGCCATAGCCCTTTTCCTCTTCTGATCCAGAAACACAAATACATGCAAATATTTACAGAAACATGAGAACAAATTTTCACAGGCCACCTCAAAAAGAGTTTGGGGGGTGTGGCCCAAATCTGTACAGTGTAGACATTTATTGTTATGAGCTACTCAATATATTAACTTCTTAACATGCAGCATTTCACTGCCAAGATTTACACCAATTGTGTTAACTACAGCTAGCATAACAAATAGGATTTGTGCCTTTAATAGAGAGTGCAGACAAGTTTATTTTGATAGAAGGAGGAAAGGACAAGTTCATTACTGTCAGAAGTCCTTCTGAAAAGCATTTAACTCATCAGTTTCATTGATTTTCATCAATATGCTTATTTTATCTTGCTTGATAGAAGTGAGCTGAATCGTCAAAAAAATCACACCCAGGAGTTACTGTGTCAGCTGGAAAGAGCAAACACAAAAGTCATTGAGGTATGATAATGAGCCTCTTCCAAATGGTATGCTTCCACTAGATACAGTATATATCTTGGAACAATCTTGTTGCTCTAACTCAGGAGTCTCCAAACTACAGCCTGCGGGACACATCTGGCCTGGTCTGATATGCTGGGGTTCAGAAGGAAATCTGATCCAGTTTTATAAATCTTTGCAGCCAGAACAGTTTCCAAATTTGAAGTGATCTGTGCAGATTTGTGTCAGTTTTTAGTACAACATACTTGTGTGAACAAACCTTTTCAAGAATAAAGTACAGTGGTGCCCCGCATAGCGACGATAATCCGTTCCGAAAAAATCATCGGTATACGGATTCGTGGCTATGCGGGGCAAAAAACCCTATAGGAACGCATTAAAACACGTTTAATGCGTTCCTATGGGGGGGAAAACTCACCTTCTTTAAGTGAAAATCCTCCATCCCGCCGCCATTTTCAGTGCCTCTAAAGCGAGGCAACACAGCTGGCGGCCATTTTGGAACCTCCCATCAGCTGTGCTTCGGTGTGCTCTCTATCGCTCTCTCTCACCATCCCTTGCAGGTCCAGCCTGGGCAAGGAGACTGAGGCACCACGCCGCCACGGCCAGCCCGAAGCACAGCTGATGGGTGGGTGTTTGCAAAGATTGTGGGGAAGCCAGCTTCGCAAACCCCACACGCTCTCTCTCCCCCCTTGCAGGTCCAAGGCTCTCTTTCGGGGGGGCTTTGGGATGATCGTGGGGAAGCGCTTCCCCACGATCATCGCAAAGCGATTTCCCCCCATTTAAAACATTGCGATGCAACTGCTTTTGCGATCGCAAAAACTCCATCGCTATGCGGATTTATCATTAAACGGGACACTCGTTAAGCGTGGCACCACTGTATGTCAGGTCCAACTATTGGGCAAGCTTATCTGATTAGCATCTTTAGTCCACTCTAATAATTGGCTCCTCAAGCTTGAAACCTCAGTTTGGCAATATTTTGAAATTAAACAAGCAGTTCCACCATAATACGGTAGTATACAAGTCTGTTAATCCAAATAAAACTTATTCATTCAATATTAAAAATGCTTCCCCCCCTTTGGCCCTCAAAAATGTGTATATGATGTGGCCCTCATACTGAAAAGTTTGGGGAACCTTGCTCTAACTCATTAATTTATTCATTCTGTTGATACTTTTGGAAGGCCTTTAAGTAATTCACAATCAAAGTCATATTCCACTTTTGAGAACACACATTCCAAAAATGTTAAAAAGTTATTAATTTTACTTCTGCCCATTGCATAAAACCAGAGCCGGAGTCCCGGAGGCAGTTCGTATCATTCTGTCAACTCCTGCAACGTTGCTGGAACCAGTTGTATTGGCTCTTGCCTTTCCATTGGACTATTTCAGTGACGTGGAAAGGGGGGATTTGCTGCTTGGGTAACAGCCTATCCTCCATATTATTTTACCCAGGCTTCGTGCCCTGGAGAGGACACTCCAGCTTTGCATACAGTGTCAAAACACTAGACGCTGTTCCAAGTCATCCATACAGAGCACGTTACCATAGTCTCTCAAGACTGAAGGATGCCTATGATTGCATAAAAATCCATTTTGTAAGAATACAGTGGTACCTCGCTTAATGATTGCCCCGCATTACGATGAATCTGCTTTACAACGATCTTTTTGCGATTGCAAAACCATGGTCTAAATGGGGGAATTTCGTTTATGATTATCAAAAACAGCTGATCGTCGGGTTTTCAAAATGGCTGCCAGGTGCTTAAAATGGCTCCCCACTGTCCTTAGGGATGGATTCCTCGCTATACAGGCACCGAAAATGGCCGCCGTATGGAGGATCTTCGCTGGACGGTGAGTTTTTGCCCCATTGGAACGCATTGAACGGGTTTCAATGCGTTTCAATGGGTTTTTTTATTTTGCTTTACGATGTTTTTGCTTAACAGCGATTTTCCTGGAACGGATTATTGTCATTAAGCGAGGCACCACTGTATATTTGTATAAATGCATAATTATGTTTCTTCTCATGCAAGATAGATGAAACAGAATTGGGTGTTATTAATACAGAAACAGTCCTGTTCTATCTGCTTGTCACTCTTCCTTCAGGGTCCAAATCCCTCATAATGCATATTCAAGGGGGGTGCTGTAACTTCCAAGTGTTCTAGATGTGAATAGGTTCATTTTCTTGAGGGGCGAAGTTTGATGTACATTTCGTATGAACATGCTTAGCATCAGACATAGGACTTCCTTCTCTTTTTTTTCTTTCTTTTTTCTCTTTTTTAGACTGCTGCACCCTGAGGTTTCAGGAGTTCCCCCCAGCCATAATTCCAAGGGGTTTAACAAAAAAAAGTTAAGCGCTTTAACTTACAGATGAAAGACCCCATAGATTAGGTGTCTGGTACATTTCTGAGAGACACCCTGTATGATGATGATGATGATGGACTCTATACCAGAGCACATTCCATGTATGATGCCTGTTAGGCAGGGAGACTTTGATTTTTTGGTTAAACACCCAGAATTCTGGCTGGGGAGTGCCTGCAAACTTTAGGAAGGTGCAATCCAAAAAAATGACAAAATTCCTTGCCTACTTAGCATTTCTTCTCCTTTGTTTGCATTTTTGAAGTTGGGCTTTAAGTAATTTGAATCAAATGTCCACCAGTCATTCTGCAACAACCAGAATGGGCACCAGTAAGAACTGGGTTTCTAGACTGTACCTCTGATTATAACTATCTGCCCCAGCTCTCCACAAGTACATCTTACCCCACATATTGAAAAGCAACATTTCTATTTGAAGCTCAGTTAGATTATATTTTGTATATAAATGAGTTGTGTCATAATTTGTCAGACTTTGAAAGTGGAAATCCCTGTCAAGGTTAGACATAATACATGGAACTGGCTGTTTCATCTTCCTTTATTTTTCTGTAGTTCCCTGATTTACCACTGCAAAGTTTTTCTTTTTTCAAAGCTTGCTTTCTGCAATATTTATGATCTGATAACACAATCTTCCATTTGTAATGAGCTGTTTCATTTATATAGAATGAAAAATTAATGTTGGAACATCAAGAAAAAGTTAGCAGACTTCAAAGTCGACTAAGCCAGGCAGAAGAGAGGGCAGCTACAGCAACTCAACAGGTATCTAAATATAAATCAGAATATACTGTTATTACAGCTGTACAATGAGAAATGAAAATAAAAATCTTATTATTATTGTTGTTGTTGTTGTTGTTGTTGTTGTT